ATTCTGTCCCTTCATGGGGGCAGATTTAGAAACATTTATCTTTGTGCCCTAGTGGGTCTCCTTTAAGCATGGCACCGTACATGGCTGCCTAATGCTCTCTTTGCTTACAAACGTTATGGTGAGTGAGATACTAAACTGTAAAGAATATGAACTCAGCTGTTTCAAATTTAAAACATCAAAACAACACTTGTTTCCCCCATATTAGATCCTAATGCTTCCAACATTTGTCTAACAGCATGGAATGCCTGCAGGCAGAAAAGGAGCCAATATTCTTTAAATGTGACGGAGCTACCACACACTTTTGCAAAACCAGCAGACAGATTCAAGATATATATGGGAGTGAACAAAGCCCAGCATGGCAATACTAAGGAGTTTTGAGTGCTTAGAAACCTTTCTACTTGAGGATTTGGGGGGGGGGAGAAAACAAAGAAAGAACCTTGCAGTGTTCATACTGTAGGTATTTTCCAGCCCCGAATAAGAATTTGAATGTATTGTTGGTTATAAAAATGCCCCCCAGTTGAAGGAATGCTTGTGTGTACAGAATCCAGCAAGTTCCACTCAGCTACCAAGAGGTAGGAAAAACAAAGTGGAATTAAATTTTGTTCAGGTTTAAAAAAATACAAATCTACACAAAAGAAAACTTAAAACTTCTCATGTTCAGAGTTTTGCCTTATCCCAAAGAATTTCAGTGTCTCCCACCCATGAAAGAAATTTCTGTGCTCCACCAGTTTGGTTAATCTACTCACAACCAGAGTTTGTCACTTCAGTTTCTCTGAATCACAAGTTTCCCATAACTTGGGGGGGGGGATATTAGAATTAGAAGTATTAGAAGTGACTGATTTGGGGGCATATTTCTGCACCAAGCAGATTTTTGTTGTTGTTGTTGTTTAAAGAAAGCTGTATACTGCAAATGGCTGGAATTTTTACATTGTAGGCTCACTTCCATAAGATAAAAGAGAACCTAAGGACCTCCTATGGAAATGCTACCCAACCATTTTTCAATAACTGATTACTTTTCCCCTCCCCCAAGCTTTATTACACAAAATGGGATAGCAGACCAGGAGTGGACTTCCTGAACTTACATAGAGTTCTTTCCCCCAGAAGGTTTAGTGTATTAGGGCACATAGATACACCCCACAGAACTAAACAAGAAGATTACTTCTGAACACGAAGCTCAAACTATAGCTCAAAACTGAGATAACAATCCTTTCCTATGAAAACTGACTTCTAACTTCCCCCAAACCTTTTATCTGGAGGGCTGGAAGCCCTTTTAGTTGTTGTGGCTGTCAGACAACTGGGAGTCAACAAACACTTGAAGACCTTCTGCAAACCCTCAAGAGACCAATCAGAAAGTCCTGCTTTATCTTCCATGCCTCTCTGGAGTAGCCCATCTTATTGGTTTATATTAGGAAATTGTTATTTTTCAAAAAATATTCACACTTTTACACTTCACAGATTTTTGTTCTCCAATTTTTAGAGACTTCTTAGA